ATTATGTTTAAATTATTTTGTTGTATTTCAGTGTCTAATATAAAAATTAAGTGGTATCGTACGTACTACTTCCGGTTGAATCATTACGTTTTAATTAAAATATCGTTGCGGTTTCCGGTAAAACATATATTAAGTGGGGAGTAGTGCGCCCGATGGTGGGATATTCGGTGTCGAAGAGTCGAAGTAGACACAGTGTAAGTACCTATAATTTGTGAAGATTTATAATAAAAGTTTTGGCTGATACAAATTGGTTTTATTATCTCTGAACGTTTACAATATTATTAGACATAAGAAGAATGGGGAAGTACCAATGTACCTGTACTCATGTTTTTAATATTCCTTTTTTCATTTTTGTTAGTAGCAATTTGTAGATACCTACAAGATTCTAAGATGTTTTGTTTTTATTAAATGTTAAAATCATGTACCTATCTACTTAATATTTTCCGTGAATTTATTGAAGCCATATTTAATTTCTTTCTATTTCAGGATATTTAATATGTTTCCTGCCTTTTGTTAATTTACCAAAATAAAAGGAAATAGGTAAAAATATTTAATTGTTTTTTCGATTCCCAATTATTTGAGAAAATTACCTGTAGATAGCAACACATTGTTAGCCTATATACCTACCTACCTACAATATTAGGTATGTTTACAATACATCAAAAACACAAAAACATACAAACTTATTCTCGTACACAGTAACTGCCATAAGTAATAGGTACCTACGATAACAAACATATCAAGTTACAGCTATCCTTCTTTATTAAAATTTCAACCTTAAATCTGTCACATAAAGTGGAAAATCCATTAAGCTGAAAAATATACGCAGATAGGTACCTACTACTGTCAACAAAGTTCAGTCTTTTGACCTCTGTAGGCTAGAGGGCGCACTAAGCAGCTTAGTTTATTCAGGCACAACGACAACTTATAAATATCCAGTTCAAAGTTAAACGGGTGACTTAAGTTGTCACTTAGATTCTGTAACTTTAACTTGGTATTTTGTAAGTAAGCAGTCAGATGTAAAAGGGTTTTAAAGAGTAAACAGCGAAAAAGAAAATATTTTGACGTTATTTTAGGAAAGTAGTCTCTTTTGTAGTACCTAGTTTGTTAATAGAGTATATATAAGTGTCTCTGTTGTGCATAAGCGTTTTGAATTGGATTCCGTCATTACATAGATACTATACTAGGGATTATAAAATTTGATTAGGGAGGTGAGTACGTACCTACTGTTTTGTACCTGCCTGTGTGAAATTATAATGTACCTACTAGCTTCTGACAACGTCTTCGCACGCGTTCCCAGCGGTAAAATATATTATGCATATTATGTATATTATGTATATTATGCATAATGTATACTCCACTCCACACTATAATCTACCTCTGTTCAAAATTTGATCTGGTGCCTTCATTCGTTTTAATATGACTGAGAAACAAACATACCTACACACAAACTCACATATTTTCACATTTACCATATCGGTTCGAGGTAATCTCAATCATCGGCCCATATAGTTACAGAAAGTCCACTGCGGTCAACCTAACATTCGACAAACTTATATTTGCCTTTGTTACAGTAACTGTGTCTAGGGATTGAGCTGCAACAATTAAGTTTTTTTCGTGTATATACTTTTTCGAGATAAAAAAGTAGCCAGTGTTATGCCCAGGATAATAAAGTATAATCATACCAAGTTTCATCGTAATCGGACCGGTCGTTTTTGCGTGATGCGTGAACATACAGACAGACAGACAGACAGACAGACAGACAGACAGACAGACAAACATTTTTCAATCACATTTTTGGGTTCGGTGTCTATCTAGAAACACTATTTTTTTATATTTTCATGTATGTATAGAATTTACACTTCTATAGTTTTATTATATGTATCTATTGGAAAAATCGTTTATTTCAATAAAAACTGACTATAATACTTTTCAATAAATACTGAAATAAAATTAAAACTAAATATTACTAAATTAAATATATACAACTTAAGATTAAAATTAATTATTATTTCTTATATTATTATTATTATATCGTTATTTCTATGTATCTATAGATTTGTTTATTATATCTACCTACCCAGCACAGGACAGGATTAAATACTAGTGGGTGTTTAAAACGAAACGAAAGAATGGCACTGAGCTGAACTTATAATTGAGATTTTATTTTAATTACCTATATCTTAAACTACATATTATATAAAGCGGAAGAGTTTGTTTTTTTGTATTTCAACTACAAGTCTGATTTGAATAATTCTTTTTGTGTTGGATAGCGCATTTATCGAGGATGCCTATAGGCTATAAAACATCACGCTACGACCAATAGGAGCTGAGCATAGCGTGTGAAATCGCGCGGAAGTAGCTAGCAATCTATATATATATAAATTTTAATAAATTCCCGTTCGTTAGTCTCGCTAAAACTCGAGTACGGCTGAACCGATTTGGCTAATTTTGGTCTTGCAATGTTCGAAGTCCACAGCAGGTTTTAAAGGTGAGAAAAAAAATTGGACATTGTTTTTCGGGTCAAGCTAGTTCTTAATAATTCTAAGTAAAATAATGAAGTCTAAATAAACTTGTGTTCCATATTCATTTTGATGCTAAACTCAAATTAAACATCTATAATACCTACTTGACTTTTTTTAAGGGGGGAAAATCATCGAATGACTTCTCCCGTCTGGGTGCAGTCACACCAGTCGTCTGTATCGTGGGTCGTGGATCAATGTTACCGATTAGTGCGGTGGCTGGGCAACCGGCTGCCACACAACATGTCGCGGGTTTGATTCCCGCACGCAGCAACTCTTTGTGCGATCCACAAATTTAATTGTTGTTCAGAGTCTGGGTGTCATGTGTATATGAATTTGTATGTTTGTAAACGCACCCACGACATAGGAGAAAAACCTAGTGGGGCAGTTTTAAAAAAAAAATATGTAGCCACGTAGTAAGTAGTGCGATTGCCAAACAAGGACATTCGGATCCGGTTCCCAGTCAAGACAGTGTGCGTAAGGCGGGTCGGTTTCCGTTTCAGGGGCATTCCGGGCACGGAGTCGTCAATAATGCCCGATTTGGAGCTGAGGACGACTTACCGGGTTCAGCTACCCTAACCTACCTAGGTTGTCGCGGAGAACCTTACCCCGGTTACCCAACCGGGGCTCCGGCTCCCCAACCGGGGCTCCGGCTCGACGTGCAGGAGAAGGAACGGGGTGGTTTTTAGTCAGTAAGAGTCTGACACTCGCTCCCGCCTGGTTGAGGCGGGAGCAGTCATTCTATGATTTTCCCGCATTAAAAAAAGAATACCTACCCAGGTTAGATCCCAAAAATGTTGATTGGCTTTAGTTTTCTTTCATTCAACATGTAAATTGAGTGAGGTAAGTAATTAACATTTAAATTAAGGTTGAGAAGGCATCCAACTACCCTGTTATTTTAAAATAGACAGGATGTAGGTACCTACGTAAGTAGGTGTACTGTAGGTACTTATTACTTGTAGCGACGAGGTTTCAAGTCCAATTTAAGAGTGGCTGCTAACTGCTAATCGTCCTGAACTGACAATAATGTGACATAATTTTCCTTATGAGAGAAACATTCATATCTTTATATATAATAATTTATTTAGCAGTAAATATAACTATGTACAATAAATATATAATATCTACATATACACTAGTGAAAAATAAATAAATATAGAAATAGTTTATCACAATACATCACAAAGTTTTCTACATTAGAAAAATCATTAAAAATATATTAGGTTATGTAGGTACAGCAATTTGAATTTCTTATTTAAATGTCAACAAAACTGGGCCTCTAGCCAAAAACTTTAGCGCTTGTCTACAGAGAGAGTAGAAATCAAAATGTATGGGGATGACACTGACAAGTGTCAAAATTTACGTCAATTTCATATAATTTGGTTTTCTATTTTACATGTAGACAAGCGCTAAATGGCATTTGGCTACAGCTGCTGTTCAGTTATTGAAGCACCACGGGCTACCGTTTTTTTCAATAGATGGCGCTAATGTAGCTGGAAGACTGCCCAATCACTTTAGCTGTTAAAAATTTAACGTGATTTTAATTAAAATTGAGCTGACAAGTTCCAAATTTGAAATATATATTCCATTTAAAAAGTGTTAGAAAAATATAATGATTTTCAAATAATAATATGAACTTAGTATCTACGTTATAAACTAAATAACAAATTATACAGGTACTTAAAATAACAATGCAAAACAGTTTTTACTAACATGGCACATACATTCAGACATTGTTAAGTTTTTGAAGTGAAAGAAATATAAAGGCTTAGTAAAGTAGGTTCTATTTGTCCTGATAATTGTCTCTATGTAGCAGTTGGCGTTCCATAGTCTTTGCCTACCCCCATGGGAGACAGGCGTGAAGTTATGTATGTATATAACTGTCTCTATGACATGTTTTTATGGGACAAGCCTGCCTTAACTACCCAAATCACTGCAACTCCTGTAAGCCCAGTATCTCAGTATCATATCAGTAGATACCAAGTTTGAAAACACCGAAACAAGGAAGTAAGGCATCTCAGAAGCATGAACAACTGTCTTGGATACCACAATGAAATAGATCAGAAGATATTATTAGAGAAGAGGTACAGAAATAGTTATTACTTCCCTTAAATTAATTGTTTTTAAGTACCTAAATAATAGTATTTATATAAGATCAACAGTATAACTGAATGGCATAAGCTGTAGTGTTATATATGTAAATCTAAATAAATAATTTGTAATGCAGGAAACAATATAACTGAAGCTATTGACATCACAAAATACTGTAGGCAAAGAGACCAAGCACCATGGAACATTGGCCAAAATGAATGGGCCATAGAGCATGTTTCTAAACAGGACTTATATTTATATTATGAGAGATATACTAAATTAACTATAAGACGAGAGTAGTAGCGCGACAGTCGCCGCGTCGCGGGTCGCGGAATACTGCTCAAGCATATGAGCCTCTAACATGGCTTAACTCGTCGAGTACCGGTTTTGTAGACACAATTATAGAACAATAGGTTGCGGTCACCGGTGATCGTTTGGTGTTTGACAGTTTAAAGCTAGTCAAGCTCCTCATCAAGAATTACATGACTAAGCTGAATAAAATAAAAAGGGGCTTATATTGTTAACTACAATGTGGAATTCACACTTTTTAAATTTGAACATCTACAAATTCATTTTTTTAACCCTCTTATCCTCAATTCCATTTCAAGGTATGCTTTCATGGATGGATCTTGTACCATTTCTAGGATTTTGTCACTGACTTCAGGGCCAACATTTTGTATTTTGGCTGAAAGGGCCTCTGCCCATACAATGTACACACAGTTAGCGCAGCCGGACTGGCAACAACTCGTTGGAGGTTCGTCTATTGAAGCCTGGAATAATAATGTAAAAATATTAGTTGAACATTATTACGAAAATATACTTGAAAAAATTCTTTACACAAACTTAATAAAAAAAAAACCATCCATAAGTACTCCAACCTCATGGCATGGTCTATGGATTATTAGTGCATAGGTAGTTCCTTTTTTAAAAGAGATACATACTTCTTTGGCTATTCTTTCCAATTCGCGCGCTTTTTCATCATCAGTAGTCTGTGACGTAGTGGTACAAGTTCTAATAACATATTTCTGACTTCTAACCAGCACTGGAAGGCGTAAAATGTTCGATTTCTGCTAATAAATAGAAAAAACATATAGTTTATGAATGAGGTCAAATAAAGGACTTAACACAGAACAAATATACTTGCAATCATTTTGGTGTATAAATAGCAAAATTTATGGCCAATATTTATCATCTTTTGCACATGTTAGTTCTCAGAATGTAACATTAATAGCTTTTTTTCATGACATCCAATGAATAGGTTATAACATGAACTAGCTTGGGGTTACTCTTTCTGTCACACTTTACGCTTATATAATGAATATAGTTTGTAAAGAAAGAGATAATGATTGTTTGTAAGCATCATATTTGGATATTGTAAGTGTTTTTCTCTTCCGTATGATACGACAATAATAACATTGAAATATTGAATAATGACATTTGCTTCTAGGGTTTGACATTAGCATTTGATTACAAATGACATTGACACTAATAATAACCATAAACATTTTTTTTCAGGATTAGTCTAGCCAAATTAATAGGTAACTTAATGATTGAATTTGCCTGGTTTTTATGTATAGCAATACGATAATTGTTTCATCCATTTATTGGCCATCGTACAACATCAACACAATTGGCAACGTACCTACCTACTTGCTACCTACACATTATCGGCGCGCCTCTAGCGGTGAAATTTAGAAGTTGTCTTAGAACGACACTGACAGGACATGAGGACACTGCTTTCGAGTTGCGGTTATTAAGTTTAAACATAATCAAATGGATCACGATTACATACATAAACCTATTTTTAATAAAAGCAGAGACATTTCCAAAAGACAAAATTAATCAAATAAATTTTCTTCCTGTATGGAAAGAGTAAAGATCAGCTGTAAAGCAATTAATCCCCACAGATTTACTCAGCGAATCAGAATATGTATGTATTTATTTACTTTTACGGGTATTCATTCAATTGAACTTTTAGAAACATTGGTGACTTGTGTTAGTGAATTGGATTTAAATGCTCCAAACAAGAAAATGTTATCTGTGAGAGACAGAGTTATTTC